TCTCTCCCTCTCCCCATCCCTCTCCCCCATTTCCCCTACCTCTGCTTTCCTCCCTTCCTTCCTTTCTTATCTCCCCCTGTCTCTCTACCTCTGACAAGTGGGCTATCTCATATCCCTGATCTCTGCTGGTAGATGAAAAAGAAGGCAAGAGAAGGGGAGCCTGGGTCATTCTGAGAAGCCCTCAGGCCCACGGTGGGGAGAGCCCCATATTCCTCAGGCACATTAGAACAGGAAGCGTGGCCTGGGGAATTGCCTCAGTCCCTGAGTACCTTCAGATTCTGGAAGACAAAATTGTGCTTGCCTGAACTATAGGAAACCTCAGACCCAGAAAGGCTCCCCACTCTGCTCACAGAGCAGACTCCGGAGGTAGGGGTCTATAAATCAGGCCCCGGGAAAAGACTCTGCATCAGCTCCTCTCTGGAATCTGGGAATACAGAGAAGGCAGGGGATTGAGGGAATAAAGACCCTAACCCAGGTGCCACAGGCAGCCAAAGGACTCCTGAGCCCTCACTCACATTTTCTCTGCAAAGGCCTCAAGCTCTGAAGAACCCAGTGCCAGTGGGATAGTCTGGGGACTGGCTCAGACTATCCCATTTGTCTTGGGCTCAGAGTATGTGAGCTCAGAGAATCAGGGCCTAGGCAGCACCCACAGCAGTTTCATAGTAAAGCAACTCTTGCCTCTGCCCCACACACCTGATGGATGCTCTGAGCAGCAACGGCATTCCCCTTCCTAGGTTTGGCCCTGAGCCCCTAGAGAGGGCCATGTACAACTCCAGTACAAAGAGCCCCAGAAAGGATGTCTCCTGCTCCACAAAGAGGGGTATAGGTGGTAAAAGAAAAACCACAGGATGGAAAAAAGTTTGATGTGAAACTTATGATGTGAGTGCTGGACCCAGCCTGGAGAGGACAGTTGGTGAGTGCTGGACACCACTGGAGCCTGGGTGAGTGATGGACACCACTGGAGCCTGGGCGTGTGGGGAGCTCAACATGGTGGCAAGAGCGAGTGGTGCTAAGATGTGGGGGGGCCGTTGCTGGGTGACAAAAGTGGTACCAACTGGAGGGGGCTCAAGAATAGTCTACTCTGGAGGTACCAAGAGTCTGAGAGATCTGGGACACCCTCAACCTCATGTCTGGGTGTGGGGGGGCAGGAGGCTCCCACCCTTGCTGGGACAAGGCTGTATGAAGTCTACCCCCAGGGGCCAGGTACAGAGATGAGGTTTGCTCATGAGGTTCTAATTAACTTCTTTCTGAGTTTTAGCTGCGCACCCAAGTGTGTGTGTATGTGTGTGTGTGTGCACCCAAGTGTGTGTGTGTGTGTGTGTGAGATTCATCTGATTATTTTTTCATGATAAACCAGACTTGACCAAGTTTTTTTTTTTTCTGGACCAACTCACCTTCATATTAGCCTATCTTTATTCATTTGTTTTTAGGCAATCATAGTTTTAGAGGTAATATATAGCTAAATATCAACTTACGGACTGATAGCATTCTCTCACTGAAACTTTCCCCACGGATAATGTACTGTCACAGCTACAAAGCTTCTTTCCTCAACCTGCCCTCACTTGGTGGCAATATTCCCAACTCGTGGTGGGAATCACTGAGTGCCAGTTTAGTCTGGCCATAACTATCTCTGACAACTTTAAGAGACAGAGCAACTATCTCCGTGCAGAGATGAGTTTCCCAGTCTGGAATGTCATGTGATTCTGCCCATGGCCCCTGAGTGTCTCAAGATGTGGGGCATGGTTTCTGGGACCAGGCCCAGGAATAGAGAGGACCCATGTGATATTTCACAATGGACCCTGCAGCAGTGTCAAGATTAGACTCAAACTTCTTTCCAAACACAAACTCTGTGGTCCAGCTTCAGACTAAGGAGTGGGGATATAAGCAGCTGCCATATTCCATGGGTCTCCAGCTCCTTGTTAGGGTATCTCTGACACCAGGATACCTAGGAAGGCATGAGGGGAGTTGGGGTGCCCTGGGCTGGTTGGGGAAAAAGGAAACTTGTGCACAGCTACAGTATAAGGCCATCCACGTCTCTGCCATCCACATGCCCCAGGCTGAGGATCAAGCTGTTGCAGACTCTAACGGTTCATGTTCAGTGCTCTCTGGCTCCCCTGTACCCCAATCCTCTGTAGTGCTACAGCGCCAAGGAGAACCAGGCCAGGATCATTCATGCTCTATAGTTAACCAAGTTCTCCTATGCAATGGCTGGGGCGGGGTCAGGGGTGGGGGTGGGGGGTCAGGCTTTTCCTGGGTTTCTGCTAGGGGTTGCAAATCCTCTCCAGGGTACAATCCTTGGCCTCCAGTAGCCATTCCAGCTCCATCTCAGTTGCCTTGCTGGAGAGAGCTGGTCTCCTCTCTGTTCCCCGCTTCCCCACTATTGATTCCATACCTACCAAGGCAAGGCTGTGTGGGCCCTTCTCAGGGGCAGCTCTGAACTGCTACGAGACTTTCTGGGTGAAGGGTCTCCAACTCAGGACCTCATGATGGTGAGGTCGTGGTGACTCTAGCTCATGTAAGCACAGTACTTCACAGTGTAGGTCTCAGCTTCAGGCCATTCCCCTTTCCAGGATGAGAATGGTGAGACAGTAATAAGTGGAGCCCTGGTGCAGGACCTGGCATGTTCCATGCCATGTTGAGCTGAAGAAGCCCTCGGGCAAGGTCTGGGGTGGGCAGAGTGGGGCTGGGGTCCTCTTCAAAGGCCAGTTCTGTTTGTGGGGTCTTTCAAAGCCTAGCTGCCTGACTTTGAGTCTATCTCATTGTGAGTGAATTAATTGTTGCACAACCTAGAGTGGTGAGACAAGTTAATTACATAATTACTGCAAAATGACATGTTATTTCATGGCTGCAATATGGTAACTCTGTTGGAAGCAATTGTAATTGCCCAGAAACTGCATTCAAGTGGCTCCGTTATCTCTGGATAACCGTGTAATTAACTTGTGTTACAACTTTATCTGCAGCAAACTCTGAAGTTAGGAGTTGGGGACTTTGGGGATAGACACGGTCATCTGAGACCTAAGGGAGGGTCTGGCATTGAGAGCTCTGCTATAATCCAGGAAAATAATTTGCTTTTTCATGTCGAGCAAGGAAAATTCCTCATTACGGACCCCAGCCCTCAAACTCATGCCCTCAAACTCATTCATAACCTCACATGGTCACGTACAGACAGCTCCCAGGGGCCAGGTACAGAGATGAGGTTTGCTCATGAGGTTCTAATGAACTTCCATCAGACTTATGTCACACAAAAGTACCCACCGCAGCTGGGAACTGGTTCTCTGCCTTTCTTCTGTCTCACAAACATGGGTGCAGTTCCTTCTCAGGAGAGGGAGGTCCCAAAGTTGAGAACTCCTACCCCTGGATCCTTGGTCCTCGCAATCCCTTCCCACAGACTGGGCCACTGGCCACAAAATAGCAACATGGAAACGAAGGCTCCTCCAAGTGCCCACAAGAGCCCAGTTGCCCTCCCACTTCACTCAAAGTGGAGGAGCAGGCCTGGAGACAGGGCGACATGAGCTCTGAGCCCTGCCTCACCCTGGCAGCCTATCCAGGAGCAGGCAGAGATTGGCTCGGCTCTGTGGCCAGGATAAAAAGTCTTTGGGGGAAGGAGTGAGTGGCCCAATGGTGGAGGCAGCCTATTCATATAGCCTTCCCTGTCCAGGCTTTGGACCCAAGAAATCCCCTTTTAAATACTGTTCAGTGATACTTTTTCAGTTCCAGGTTCTGTGCTTAGTGCTTGGCTGCAGCCAAGACAAGACAGCACTCCTGCTGCCCTGGGTGAGCCTGGCTCAGCCAGTGGACAGAAAACACCTTGGGTGTCTGCCTGTCTCGCTATCTTCTGGCCTGAGTTGAGTGCCTGCCAGCTTGCCTGTCTGTCCCTGCCTATCTCTGCCTACACACACATCTGTTTGTGTGTCCATCTCTCCTGCCTGCCAGCGCATGCATCTGACTGTGTCCACTGGCTCATCTGTCCCTGACTCTCCAGACTCATCACAGTGGTCCCATGTCCGCTGGAGGGAACTGGCCTGTCCCAGGTCTCTCTGCAGTGTTTGTCCTCACCATGATGTGCTCTGTTTGTTTTCTTGGCTTTCTCCCTCCTCCTCAAGGGCACAGACTGTGTCCAATTCATGATTCATTCTTGGGTCTGGTGCTTGCAGCACAGGGCTGAGACAAAGTGGATTAAGGTTTGCTGGCTGAATGAACGAAAGCATCCAGCCTGCGTGGGCTGTTACAGAGGAACAAGATTGTTCTCACTCAGCCAGAAGAATCGAAAGCCAAGACCCGGGTTGGGCCCAAGCTCCTGGGAGGAGAGAGCAATCACTGTCCATTATCCCGAAAGTGAAGACAAGTTTCAAGATGGTACTCCCATGGTAAGGGGCTCAAGATTTGGGGTCCTACTGTGGAAGAGGCTAGAGCTGGGTCGCTGTCTGGGCAGTCAGGGGGGGTCTTACTGGTGGGATATAACACAGAAACTCAGGGAAAGGAGGGTTTTATCTTGCCTCTCTTTATCTTGGGGGTCTGCTCAGAGCCAGAGGGACACCTCAGTAACCACTTCTGTAGGGTGCTTGGGGTTGTCCCTTCTCTCCAGTTTCTTCTCCTTAAAGCCCACCTGGAGCACCCCATGCCCTGCTTCGTGTCTCCCCCAAAGGCCAAGAGGAGGGCCCTGCCCACTCGCAAGCAGAGGGGAGGAGCCCAGGTCTGTAAGTCATGTGATCAACGCAGAGTAACCTCCCCGGAAACATCCATAAGTTTAATCCACGCCAGTAATAAAATCGCATTACATTTTTCATAAAATAAATGTTCCCATTTATATACAGAAGACAGAATGTACAGGCCCAGCCTGGCCCCAGGAGGGGTCACACACAGATGGGCAGTAGTGGAGGAAGGGCCGTCCCTTCCATCAAGGATGGAGGAGTTCTAATTGGCAGGAGAGCGGCTGGCCGGCCAGGCGGGTGGGCAGGCGGGCAGACGGACAGATTGGCCTGGAGGCCAGGCGCTGGGTGTTACTGAACCTGGGAGTCAAAGGTGCCATTGAGCTGTCCCTCCTCATAGTCCATCTGACACAAGATCATGTTGTTCTTCAGGAAGAATTTGTCTCCCACGCAAAATCTGGAAAATCCAAGCAGGAGAGAGAGGCCATGGAGGAGTCCCAGTGGGTGGCGAGGGCTCCAGACAAGACCCAGCCTGGCTGGGAGGTGGACATGTGGGAAGTGAGGTCCTGGGGAGCTTGCTCCTTGACCACTCCAGAGGGGATCCTCAAAAGTCCCTGAGTCAGCCCCGCTCTCAGCCAGGCCCTGCAGCCTGGGGATAGGACAGATAGACAAGCCTGGGCCACAGTCAGGTCCCTCGTGGAGGAGTGGGGTTCATGGGAAAGCATAGGAATAACCTACCCCAGTCTCAGAGAGGGAGAAAGAGAGAGAAGGAAAAAGAAACAGGAAAAGATCCAGAGAGGAGAGAGATGGAGAGAGGTAGAGATGGGAAGGAAGAAAGGATAAAAATGGTTGATTTTTCCATCCCTCTGTTCCCTTATCCAACTTAAGAGGACGGCTCAGTGAAGAGTACTCTTTTTCTAAACTGAACCTGTGGGTTTCCTGGAGTATCCTTCCAGGAGGGGGTGACTCTGTCCCACCATCTTACTCCCTATCTGGAGAAGGCTCTGCTTTGGCCCCCCAGTCCTCCTCAAGTATTGGAGGATTCAGCCCTTTCCTTAAAGATGTCCCCAGAGTGGCTGAGGCCTTTAGTGGGACCCCAGGGTTATAGGCCCAGTCCCAGCAGATCCTAGGCAAACCACCAGGTGGCGCTGCAACTTCACTGAGCCCTCCCCGCTGCAGGTCTTGCCTGAGCCTCAGCCAGACTGGTGTTCCCTGCGGGTCCCTCTGGACCTAGCCCTTTGGGAATTCTTGTATAAGCTCTTTCCTGACTTGGGGGCTCCTGAGGAAAGGGTCTGCCTTCTGGTGCCAGGCCCCCAGTCAGGAGGGTCCCCAGGGCCTCCTACAGGGCTAGGGCACTAAGCAGTGGCTAAAAGACCAGAAAGGAGGCTGGCCTAAAACCAGAATCATAGGAGAGGGGGCAGCAGTGAGGGGCCATCCCCTGAAGGCATTTCGCCCTCCAGGAACCCCCTCTTCTCACTAGAATGTACATGCACACACATGCGCTTGGCACACACACAAGGGCTCAAGGCATGTGTACAAAACCCTTGCACAAGCATATTTAAAACATGCATGCACTCATCATGCACACAGATCACACACATACCCTCGTTTGCATATGGAGACCTAGAATAGAAACATGTTTGCACGTGCATATTAATTCTATCATGAGGACATACCCAGGTGGACATGGGCATTTAAAAATACACACATGCTCATGACTCACAATGCGTGTACACAGCAAGCTCATGCATGTTCAAGTCCATTACATTTGCACAGAAATATGTTCCACAAACATGCACACACAGTATTGGAGCATACACATTTGACTATAAGACTTGGGCACACATAAACCACACATATATACACGTCACAGCATGCACAAGCAGCCATATGCACACGCAGAACCCACGTTTGCATGCAGGCCTCCACAGCACTCCTGGTCTGCCCCAGAAGGAGTCACCTGGGGTCCAGTAAGTGTATTGCTACAAGTCTAGCACTCACCTCTGGTTGCAAAGCTGGCAGGCAAAGCAGTCGAGATGATACACATTGTCCCGGGCCCGCATCACCATCTCGAAGGCTGGGATCAGCTTGCTGCAGGCGGCACAGTTTCCTGTGGTGCCGAAGAGCCTGCAGAGAGAAGGGTACAGAGGGCTTAGGAGCCTGCTAGGGAGCTTGGGGTAAGGAGGTGGTAGGGGAGTTCCTCCACGCATGGCACCACCTGTCTCCCATCCCTGCGGGCTTAGCAGGTAGGCCTGGGCAAGAAGATGGCTCGGTGGGTGGGAGCACAGTTGGCAGAATCTAAATTCTACTAAGAAATCAGGTTTCAGAGAAATCGACATATCTACTCACGAAGGAGCTAAGGTGTCAGCTGACACTGTTTATCCCAGCTGGGCTGACAAGGGTCCTGGCCCCCTCCCAGGTTCCCACTGTGGTCCCTTAAGCACCGAGGCCCACCAGGAGAATACTGGGCTGGGCCTTGAGCAGAACTCCAGATTTATACAAGCCAGATTTAAGAGGCAATCTAACAATCATGGGCTGTGTGTTCTCAGGCAAGTCACTGAGCCTCTCTGAGCCTCATTTATTTCAATTATAAAACAGAGACCTAAATACCTTCACAGTCTTGTTGTGAAAACTTTGGTAAACTCTCAAGTCACAACTCATGTAGCAAACATTTATGTAGTGTTTGCTATGTGCCAGGTACTGTTCTAAGGGCTTTACAAAGATCAACTCATTTAATCCTGACGACTCTATGAGGAGGTCTTTTTCAGCTAGTGACTCACTGTGTGACTTGCCTAAATCCCTTTTTCCTTTCCCTGGACCTCAGTTCATCCTTCTTTAAAATGGGGATGCTAGACTAGAGGATTCTGTTCAAAGATGCTTCTAAAACAGGATTGATATCGAAAGGAAGTTCTAAGGACTTCTGGCACAATGCCTCTTTGAGGCAGACAACCCTTCTATTAGCTGCTGGCTGCAAAGCTCTAGGGATGTGAGCTCACTCCCTCCCCCATGCAGGCCAGTCCTTGGCTGGAGGTTCCAATGGTCTGAGCCAGCAAGTGTGTACATCGCTCATACTCCTAGCTTCTTTTCTGCACACTGGAAGAGCAAGCCCCAAGTGAGACAAGGGGGCTAGAGATGGGTGGGAGGCCCCTCTAATCCCTGATTTGTCCAGCTCAAGCTCAGGCGCCTGCAGACAAGCTTGGCTCCATTATTCATCAGTCCGAGCTGCCTGGTGGCTCAGATTAAGGTAGACAAAGGCTGCGCCACAGCATCTGCCTGCCAAGAGGGGCCTTTCTTGCCATCAGTCCAATGAGCAGGCTGCAGAGGGGCAGGCTCTAGACAGCCATTTTCTGGGCCTGAGCAGCTCAAGGAAGCAACCCCCACCCTGGCCCACTGGCCTACCTGGCCCCAAAGTCATTCCTTGGCCTCTGCCAGAGCTCAGAAAAATACCTTCAGGCACCAGTAGCTGGCAGGGCCCAGAATGCATGTGGGTGCTTCAGCTCTGCTGACAAGCTCATCCTGCACTATAGTCCTCCCTCTCTGCATTCTGTAAACTCATCAGTGTGTCCGCCACTGCCCCACGACCTGGTAGGTTTGGCCTCCAGCTGATGTCCTAAATCTCCAGACTTGGAGGACTTTTCCAGGTCCTCAAGGGGTGAGTCCCCAGGAGTAACCCTTCTTTAACCCCTCCTTCCACCTCAGCCTCTTCTCCAGCCACAGCCAGGAGCACTGAGTCACAGATCATGGCTTAATGCACAGCTTAAAAAACAAAACTAAAAACAAAACTTCTACAAAAGGCGGAAGTTAAAGAAAGTGCAGGCAGGTAAATCTTAAGCTCTTTGGGGGAAGCAGGGGAGCCTCTGCTGATAACCCCACCCCCCAACATGCTCACACCTGAGCAGAGGGAGCCCCAAGAAGCCCTCGTTCTGACCTATTAATTAACGCAATGTGTCTTTCTTTCTTTGCAAGGCCCAACCACCACCCAGCAGCCTGTGTAAAAGCCAAATGCAGATGCTGGGTCTCAGCCAAGGCCCCTACTCTGTGGCCTCCTTCCAGCCTTGCTGATGTCATAGATGGTCTAAGGGAGGATTAATTGGGGGAGGCAGCCCCGGGGGAATAGGATCCAGGCTGTGGGGGAGGGTGGGTTAGATTTCTGAGGAATGCAAAGCAAGAGATCTTATTCTTTTCACAACTTCACAGAGGAGTAAACTGAGGCTCAGAGCAGGTTAGAAGCCAAAAAGTTCAGAGCTAGTTCAAACCAAGGTCTTTCAGCTCCAACATCAGTGGTCCTTCTCCCAGGGTCTGGCTACCTGCCAGGCTTCCAGGCTTCGGGGTATCTAATCCCAGGGTCCACCTAGAACGGGGGGAGCTTGGCACTGGGGAGAGGTAGGAAGGAGGACCCAGGGCAGTCAGGGGCAACGTGCTCACACCTGAGCAGAGGGAGAGGTAGGAAGGAGGACCCAGGGCAGTCAGGGCTTCCATACCTGCTCCTGGAAGCCCCTCTGAGGATGTCCCTCCCAGATTCCAGGGACAGAGTGGGTCAGCAGCACCTGACAAAGGCAGGGGCAGGGCCAGGCTGGTGTCTTCAGGAAGCTCATCTCCGGCGCCTGCGGTTACAAATGCCTGTCCAGGACCTGTGCTGGCCACTGAGTCCCAGGAGAAGATGTGGCCCTGCCCTACGGGGTGTCTCGGAAAGCAAGGCAGGGCCAGGACAGTCTGGGATGAGCACGCAGTAGGCTGTGTACTTTGGGTACTAGGTCGAAAGCCGGGGTAGGGCCACGCTGGGTGCTGGAGGGTGGGGGGGGAGGCTCCCTGAGAAGAAGGGCCAAGTGGCAGGAGGTGGCCCACCTTAGGTAGTCACGGCGACACAGGATGAGGTTTGCCTTGGTGTAGAGGGTGGAGCCCACTTCGCCAAGGCGGCAGTCACAGCAGGCACACTTGAGGCAGTCCTCGTGCCAGTACTTGTCTAGCGCCTTCAGCAGGTAGCGGTCCTTAATCTTGCGGTTGCAACCTGCACAGCCCTTCTGCTTCCCTTTGGGCTGGACGGACAGCATCGGCACGCCTGCAGATGGACAGACATGAGACAGATGGACATGAGGGTGCCCTGCAGCTCTGGGCCCTCTAGGAATGGGAGACCACTGCTTCTCCCCGCTGCTCACTTCGGGGCTGGGGTTCCCAGGAAGCTTCGCTTTCTCCCTAGCAACTCCATCCCTGGTCTTAGGTCCTGTCCTTGGGGCTGCGTGGCATAGCCTGTACCCCTGCCCTGTGAAAGTCCCTCCAAGAGGTGCAGGCAGCACTGGGGAGCCCTGTCTGCTCTGCTGCAGGGCACACACACGGTCCCAAGGCCTGGTCCTCCTGAGCTGTTTGACCCCATTCAGCCACTGCCCCTTCTATGGTCTGATCTACAGGAAGCCTGAAGCCCTCCTTATGCAGCCACCATCTCACTGGCTCTTTCTGCAACCCTAAGAATGAAATCTCGCAATGGGCTTGGGGTCCACTAGAACTCCCAGATTTTTTTGCCACCTTAAGACTTCCTCAGACTGCTTGTGTGTTTATCCATTGTAACCCAAAACGTCAGACTATAACCTCTTGGTCTATTTATACAGAACTTTGGAGGTGTCGAGAAGAAAGTAAGATGTCCCTTTGACACTCCCAGGAGGGGGCAGGAGCTCTGGAGCTCCTGGCAGGTACCTTCGGGAGGCAGTTGGGCCTGGCTTAGTTGGGGCTCTCTCCAGAACTGCTTCCAGCTAGATTCAAACTTCTGATCTACTGTTGCCCAAGGGAGAGGAGGTGCCCAGTTTCTGGATCCTTGCTCCTCCCACCAGGATAAGAATCTCTAAGCCACTGGCCTCCTCCCAGGGCCCATATGAGATTCTCGACATAGAAGAAAATGCCAAGTATAAAGACCTGGTATTCATCGGAGGGAGGGGCAGACCTCACGGCAGGCAAGCGTGTGCATCACTCATACCCCATGCACACAGGTGCAGAGTACAGGTGTATGCATGCATGTGCACAGAGGCATGGGCTCCTAGCCTCTGGCCCTAGGGCCACAAGGAGTGACCACAGGGAGGGAAAGTTCAGGAGGAGATGAGGACAGATGTCAGGAGTCATCTGGGAGCCTAGACATTTACACGAAGCCCTGAGTATGGCGAAGACTAGGCTTAGAGGGGAGTGCGGGGAGTCTTAGAGCCCCAACCAGGAGGGGGGAGGGGGAGGAGAGGTGCCTGCAAGCCTTTCATGAAGGTGGTGGAGATGGGGGTGTTCCTTTCCTGACCAAGGCTCAGGTGGATGGAGGGGCTGACTCTGGAGGAAATGGTCCACCCCTTTCTGCCTCCCGGCTTTCCAACAAGTCCCTGAAATTTGCCCTCCTTCTGGCCCCATCCTTTCCAAGGGATCCCTGCACTATCTAGAGCTCTGGGTTCAGCTCCCGTCCCCTGGCATCCCTCCTCCCACCCCCACTGCTCCCAGACCAGAGTCCGAGCTGCTTGCTTTTCCTTCCTAATTCCAGGTGTGACCCTTCCTCAGCCTTCAGGGGAGAACCACACCCTCCAAGGGGGCTTCAGTCTCAAAATTCATGGGTGTCAGGTCAGATGGACCCTCAGAGTTCTTCTAGGCAAATGGTCTCATTCTACAGAGGGGGAGACCAAGGCTCAGATGGTCCAAGGAGCTAGTGTAGGCCACTAATTAAGCTGGCCCTGGGGCCTTTACCCGCTCCTCTGCCCTTTCTCAGCCTCATTGTCTCTGAAGACTTCTCCTGGAGAAGGGGCATCCCTTGGGTGTAGGGGGTCATCCTGAACCCAGGAGCAGCAGGACAGGTGAGGGCAGGGAGGAGGCATCATGGGCTGCTTTGGGCTCTCTCCTTCCTCCCTCCTACAGTCCCGATAGGGCTGTCTGTTAGCTGGGAAGTTTGCTGCCTAATTTCCTTAATGCAGCTCTAAAGGTTAATTGGTCTTAGAGAATTATGGGGCTCAGAATGACTCTGTCCTCAGGCCTGCCTGTGTCTCCTCTGGCAGGGTCCAGCCCGGTCACAGTTCTGAGGAGCCCATAGAGGCCAGTGGGGGATCAGGCACCCCTGAGAGCAAAGGGAGTACTGAGGGGCTCCTTCCAAGGCCTGGCCTACAGGAAGGAACCAAGTGTGGATGAATGGGGAAGGAGTTACAAGAGCTGGATGTGGGAAAGTCTGGGGGCTCCAGTATGGGAGTACAATCTCCAGGGCCTGTGGAGGGAGCACCCCAGCAGCATAGTCACTAATTTTGAATATCTCAGGCCAGTCCTCTAGTATAGGCTCCAATGACGATTTTCCTTTGCTCACCTAGGCTGGTAGCAGGCCTGGCTCCCTCTCCAGCAGCCAGAGCTCTACATTTGTGTTATCACTGGTGGGGCAGGGAGAGAGGTGGTGGCTGTGGGTGGCTGGAACATCCATACTCAGGGGATATACCCAGCCTATGATGTCATACCTCCAAATGATGGGGGGAATCTCAGCACTAGGAGCATCTGCCCTGCTCCATCTTCCTCTGGCTTGGATCCTGGACAGGCTGGCTGGCCTTCCAAGCTTAGGCCCCAGAATGCCTGCCTGCTGAGCCTGCAGTGCTATGAACTATAGCACTAGCCAGCAATTCCATCACCAGTGGGACCTGGCACCTAGAGGACCCAGGGAGGCCATGAGGAGCAAAGCCACAAGCTGTTCCCCTGTTCCCCACCCCCTGCCTATGCCCAGACTCGGCCTGGCACACAACAGGCACTTGTAAGACCTAGGCACCCTGCTCTCGGATGCTGAACTCTGCTTCCTGAGCCCTGGAGAACTCTTGAGAGGCTACATGGCTTCTACCAGTGTCTGATGTCTACCGACACACAGAACACCAGGGCCAGTCTGGCTGAGGACGTCTCAGAACATCTGGAGACCTTGAGCTTTCTCTGCCTGGAAAGGCTGAGGTCCTGGGAGAAGTCTTATCCCTTCCTTCTTCATGGACCCACGACACAGTGTTTGCTTTGCCTAGGCTAGTCCAGGCGATTTGAAAATATTCTTGGAAAGGTAAGGAGGCTCTAAGGGGGCATCTATGGGCTCCTGCTCCCCGGAGGGTCCAGGCTCTCCCTCCTGCCCTGCCTCCCCAGCCCCCACCCAATCCGCCAGCAGGCCCTGCAGACACCTCTTCCCTCCCTCCCTCTCCTGCCTGGCTCTGGGAGCTGAGCCTCGGGCCATGCACTTTCCATTAAGGAGATAGCATCCCTTTGCTGAAGTCCATTTGGGATCCATTTTAGTGTTATCTAAAAATCAAATCTACATGGTAATCCTTTTAATGTACTCCTGACTTTAGAAAAAAACAGCTTTGCGCTTCTTCAGGAAAGGTTTTAAAGCATTACCCAGTAATTACTACTCACCCATGAAAACACTGATATTTTACAATGGATGATGTTTGCGACTACCCGCACGCACTGGCACATGCTCAGATGCACATAGCGGACCCGGCAAAATAAACCAGTTCACTCGGCCCACGTGTTTCCCTCAAATCTCAGGGTGTGGAGGGGACATTTGAGGGGAGACAGGCCAAACCCCTACCCTGCCTCTACCCTGGGTGGGCTGACGGTGGAAGGAGGCAGCCTCTCAGTCTGACTCATCCAGCTGTCAGACACTACCCTCAGCTCTCTAATCTAGGGAAAAGCCAGACAGTCCGGGAGACTGGGAGGGACTGCCAGAGGTCATTCGGCTCTTCTCGCATCCTCTCTCCACCCAGGAGAGAAGCTCTCCTCTTCGCATGGACATCCCAGGTGGTCTGCCAGCCGTACTCAAGTCCACAGCAATTCCTATGCCACCTATCCCAGGCCAGGCTGCCTTTCAGATCCAGCAGGTGGATGTCTCCAAACTGCCAAGCCCTCTGGCTCCTGGTCCCAACACACAATGCCTCCAACTCGGACAGCAGACTGAGCCTAGTTGTGAAGCACTCCCACCATCTCCCAGCAAGTTCCTCTGCCCCAGAATGTCCACCCCACCCAGACCCAGGTCACTCCAGGCCTGGCCTGTGGCTCCCCTACTGGCAGTCCCTGTGGCTACCCTTGGCAACTCCACCTGGCATTTGAAGTCCCCTCCCACATGCCAGCATGTCCTGCCTGGCACTGCTGGATCTGCTCCCTGCAGTATCCTGGAATAATATCCCCTTCCGTCCTGTAAATAGATTGTGTTTGCTTCTGTCTCAGGGCCCTTACTCTACACTGCTCCGGGCAGTGATGCCTGCCTTGTCCTGCTTATCGCACTTTCTTCCAAAGGGCAGTCAACAGTGACATTGAGTCAAAGAGCACAGACCTTGAACTCAGAGTTTACTTTCCAGTCTGGGAACTGTCTCAAGTAGCTGGAGGGCCTGGAGCAAATCCTGCCACCTTTCTGACTTGCATCTGTGTCATGGGGCCGTCATAGGCTCTTTCGCTACAGACTGTGGTGAAGCCGCAGCACAGACGCATCCAGAGGGGACCAACGAACAGGAACGGGCAATATGAGTAACATGCTCTCCAAGTCACCTGCCTTCCCTGCTCTGACACCTGTTTTCTTTTTCCTTTAACTTTTTATCTTGACATAATCTCAAATTTGGAGAGAAGTTTCAAGAATAGAAAGAATTCCTGTATACCCTTTACTCAGATTCCCTAAATATGAACATTTTACCATCTTTACTATCTATCTACCTACCTATCTACCTACAATATTTTTCCTGACTCACTTGAGAGTTGATTTTAGAGATTAAGCCCCTAGACTCTTCGATACTTTGGTGTGTATTTCTCAAAAGCAAGGACATTCTGTCACACAAGCATGGTGCAATGATCAAAACCAGGAAATTATCATTCACATAATACTATTATCTAATCTACAGACTTCATTCAGATTTTACCAATGTCCCCAAGTAATATTTTTTTCTGGCAAATTAAAATTCTGGATCATGCATTGCATTCAGTCGTCAAGTTTAGTCTACTTAAATCTGCAAGAATTCCTAAGCTTTTCTTTGTGCTTCACAGCACTAGCATTTTTGAAGAGAACAGGCCAGTTATTTTATGAAATATCTTTCAATTTGGGTTTGTCTGACACCTTTGACCA